ATTTGACACATGTGGCATGTGCTTTTTCACCTTTGTAAAAATAGAGGTTTTTGAACTATTTCTAATACTATGGGAAAAAAAAAAAATTTTTTTTTTTTACTTGCCCAACACAGCAACCCGTTTCCCCCCCACCCGCCCCCCCCAACCCCTCCCCCTCCCCCCCCCCCCCCCCCCTCACCAACTTTCTTTGTCACTTTTGTGTCATTCTTGCCCAGAACCTGCCATTTCTTTTGGTAACATGGCAGAGTTTATGGCAGAGTGGCTCTCGCGACCCATTATGCCCTTGTGTTTATAGATTTTGTTTGTTTAAAGGCCAACTTTCCAGAATGCTCTGTTTGTGTACCATAAGTAACTTCTTAGCTTAGTTTCAAAAGTGCAGAGAAGTGGCATTCAGCTTGTGGGAATTGTTTTCTAATAATTGAAGTAGTATCAATAGTCTGCATTTCTGGTAAAGATATAAAATAATAATTAATAAACTACATTAATTACACATTTTATATATCAAAAAAGTAGACAGAACGTTGTTTCTTTACATTAAAATTTCAAACAGACCTTACAAACTAGAGTTCTCTTCTTTTACTAATTTAATAAAATCAACCCCTCTTACTCTATGGCTTGGAAAAAACGAACACATGGTCACAACTTATGTTGACTGTGAAATACAGTAATTTGGCTAAACTTGTGAACAGGCTTAACATTAAAAAAGATGAAGTTACTGTTTGATAATAATATTCAGATTTATCAGGAAAGTGAACTTAAAATTTTGCATGTTTTAGGTGATAAATTTTATTTCATAGCCTACTTTATAAGAGCAGCATCTTGTCAAAAGAGCTCCTGATGCATGTGAAGTCAAACATACAAGTAGATGAACTACTTTTTCGACGTTTAAAGCGACATTCCTGCCCAAATTAAAAGGAAGAAATCCAGCAACCTCTGCATGGTCAGTAATCTTTTTTCCAGCAGTTCTTTGTTACAGTATATAAAAATATCCAGAAATTTCACCAGCCATTAAAAGTGAAAGTTTTCGTCTAACCTGCACCTGTTAATTTTAATGGTCAGTTCCATAAACTAACATTCAGTGAGTGGAGCCGCACAGTCCAATACAAAAAGAATAAATGGCCACACCCTCCCCTTTAGCATCCAATCCTTTCCCCCCTTTTATTTCCCCTTTTTTTAAAAAAAGGGTTCCCCTTTTTTATTATTTTTTTTCCCCCCTTGACGGAGGGGGGGGGAGGAATGGAAAAAAGCCCCCAAAGAGCTTTTATAAAAAAAAAAACCCCCCCCCCCCCCCCACCTATGTTTAACAAAAAGAGACTTTGATGTTACATCAAGAGCCATTTTATTAGTGCAATATTCCTTGAACTCCTTCAATTAAGTGCCAGCTTGGTCAGTCCCTTTTCAATGTGAACAGTCTTGTTTTTTTTGTCATTTGGTAAAATATTAATTTCTAATAATATATTGTCCTATACATCTGTTCTTTACTGGTATATTGTCATGCAGTGCTTCTCCCTATGATATTATGGCTGTGTAGGAGACCGCTAAAACCCTTGGTCCAAAGAAAACCATGCAGCAAAGCTGCCATAACAAAGAACAACATCAGAAATACCTTTTAACTAAATGGTGATAAGCCAGTGTATATACCGGTAGCTGGATATGCCTCGATCTAGCTGTGATAATCATCTGGGCCAGGTTGTTCTAAAGCCAGCTAAGATATACCAGGGTTAGTGCAAAATTTGAATTCAGATATGAAAGCTCAAAATGCAAATTTAGTGTAATTTTTTTGTCAACATTTTGATGATTGGATGCTCTAAAGAGAATATAGAAAGTTATCTGAGTAAATGCTTTTGTAAAAAAGAAAAGTAAACCCAGATTAAGATTTAACCCCGGGTTAGCACTAATCAGTCTCCCAACAACTTTGCCCTGATGTCAAATTGTTATGGCCAAGTTTTAGACAGCTCTTCCAAATGTTTTAAAAGTATTCTTTAATAGTATAGAACATGCATGTGTAAATATTTTTCATAGCCCCGGTTGTTTAGAAAGCGGATAGTACTCTCTTTGCAGACAATTCATTATCCAAAGAAAAATCATATTTAATGCCTTGTGTCATTCAGAGGTTAATGATTTTCTCACTGGGTCTCACTATTCACTTTT